ATACACTACGTATATATATATATATATATATATATATATAAAAGAGATTTAACCGCGTAAAAATTTAAAAGTTTATTTTTACAATAACGTACAAACCAATTGGATTCGTATTAAAGAATAAGAGAGAAAAAAGAAAGAAAGAAGAAGAAGAAGAAGAAGAAAAAGAGTGAAATAGAAACGCGAGCAACGAGATTTCCAAACATAAAACGTCTACTAACGTGAGAAACAGGTTTCCCGTCCTCGGTTACACACTTGACCCAGATTTTTGATTGTCGAGAGACGAGCGACAGTGACGTTAATGCGGTTACTCGAAAACACGTGAGACGCTCGTGCATATTTTATTATCGAATTCCAGTTTCACGAATTGGAAGATGATAATTTTGTAATTGGACGCACGCGCAACGTTCGTTCGATGCGAAAGAGGAAGGAGTAGGCGAAGTGGTAGAAGTAAACAAAAACGCAAACGCAGGTTTTTCGAGAATAGCGAGAGTAATTTTATCGCGACGAATTCGCGGGGAAATAAGTTGGCGTTGACGAAGGTTACGTACACGTCGTAATCGTCCATTCATGGAGCAATGAACGCTCCATGGGTGGACGAACGCACGCGCGAGGTTATATCACCGCGATTTCGAAGAGATCGAGGCGAAGAGAAGGATCGCGCGTTTCAATTCGAAAGATCGGAAGCTTCTCCTTTATTGATCGCACGCACGTGCTCCTCGTATAGTCTATTCGTAGCCCGGAGGGTCGTAAGTGGGCCATCTGGTCGAACGATTGGCGGAGAGGAGGAGGAGGAGGAGGAGGAGGAGGAAAGGAATCGGCGCGTGTGAAAAAGGGAGGAAAGAAGGAAGGAAAACGAGGGAGAGAGAATGGGAAGAAAGGAAATGGGGGAAGAAATGGGGAAAAGAACGTATCCGTTGAGCGGTGGTGCGCTGTCTCACCTGTCAGAAAAGCAACGTCATCCACATCTTGTTCGCTCATCGTGAACCGATTCGGCGGCGGTCTCCGACGAACGATTTCTTTTACCTGGCCGTCGTTCGTGGCATATAAAATTTTGATCAAGGGCTCTCTCTGTTCAGCCAGAATTCGGGCGGTCGTACTCGTCGCTCCCTGCTTCCTCCTCCTCCCTTAACGCTTCCTCCTCGATTCGTACACGGATCGTGTACGGTTGTTGTCGGTGTGCGTCCAGTGTCAAGGTCAAGGAATCACCGACGAAGGCTCGACGTTTTTCCACCGGGGATTCGCGATGGACACGGGATGGACGAGCTCTCTCTCTCTCTCTCTCTCTCTCTCTTTCTTCTTCTTTCCTCTCCTCGCCGCTTTGTTTCGATTCAAAGGCTCGATCGGTGGAGGCGAAGTTGGTCGAGTACGCGGTCGAGTGCCGAGCACGAGCACGAGCACGGGCACGAGCACGAGCACGAACACGAGCACGAGCACGAGCACGAGGACGGGGACGAGGACGGGGACGGGGATAAAATCACAAAGAGCACAGGTGCGAAGAAAACGCAGAGGACGAGGACGCAGAGCAGAGGCACGAGCAGGAGCACGAGCACAAGCACGAGTACGAGGAGGAAGCCGAGTAGAAGCGCGATCAACGAGGTCCCGACAAAGAGCCGCGACAACGTGACGATGCACGAGCTTACGAAGTCACCGAACAGCTCGACGATGTCGGCCAGTCTATAACGCGCGACGTGCCTTGACATTTCATTGGCATTAAAGCGTGAATATAGCGACTGCGGAGTTAGGCAGAAATGGCGACTTTCCAAACCCCTTGGTGGCGGATCGCTTTACGGGGGTGGATTTGCAGCTCTCGCCACGCCGCACCTCGCTTCGCCTACCCTCCTATCCGAGGTGGTTGCTTGCTTTTACCGTGGCGCCATCCGTGACCCACCCTTCCAAAGTCCTTCTTCCCCTCTTTTATTTCCACGCTCGGGTTGGTAACAACATTCTCTACCATTCTCTCCCTCTCGCTTTCCTCTCGCCCTCCGATATCCCGATATTTCTTTTCCACGATCCTATCGATCTTACGTACCTTCTCATCGTCCCTACCTTCCATTATTTCCTCTTCCCACGTTACGTTATTTTATCCGACCGTAATCGTAATAATTTATTCGTACGTAACGGAGAATAACATCGTCGAATCGAATCGAAAGTGAAAGAAGGAGAGGAATAAAAAAATAATCAACGTTCGAGTTTTTTCGTGCTGATTTTTCGTTCCAGTTTAACGTTGACACGATTATCTATACTTTGCGAAGCTATTCTCACAACTGTATCGTCACGCTTTAACGTTCGATACGACGAGGGGAAATATGCGTGATACGTCCGAGTTTTTGCATATAAAGGATAAAGGAGGCGGCGATATTCAATGGGATGCTGTTTCGTTTTGTCCTCGTTCCATTCTCTCAAGATGAAACGAGTTTAACCTTAATCGTAATAATCTTATGCTATGCGAAATATCCTCTACGCTACGATCTGCTTCATCAATTTAACGCGTGAAAACGAAAGTTCGTACAAATATACGTATACATCGCCTTTGAATTTACCTTGCCTTTGAATCGTAGCGAATTATTAATCCGTCGATATTGATTATCCGTCCCGATTAATAACCGATGATGATGATGATGATGATGACGATAATAATATCGATTATTGATTATTATTCGAGCAAAACCGACGAACGAAGAAAAATCGCCATTTTATTACGAATAAAATGTAAAATAATGATATGTATAAATGATATTCAAGGAAGGGAAACGATAGAACGTTGCGGAGATACGATCGGATCGTAATTGATAATAATTGATGATAATAATTAACGAATAGCAATTTTTGGAGAGATTTCAGCGTTGGAACGAAAGCTGACGTTATCGAAAAAAGAAGCGCAAAGTCGATGCGAGAATCTAGCAGAGAATACGAAAAATTGGAACGGATCGATGTGCGAGCGTGGAATAAAATTCTCGTATTATGGATTCGCCAAGGATCTCTTAGAGAAGTTTTCGATTCATATAGTATGAACTTGAGCGATACTTGAACCGTTCCAATCGTCCAAGTTCAATATTCTTGACGTGGACAAAGTCTCGATTCAATGCTGACAATGGCATTCAAATCGGGGGGGAGGGAACATTTCCGTTTCTCATCTTCTTTTTGATCCGTGAATCAAGCCCTAGGGTTACCAACAACGTTTTCTCTTATATATCCAGTAAATCTTGTCTACCTTAACGTTTCGTTTCATCGTAACGCGTCACTCCGCGTGATCCGATCTAAAAGAAAAAACTGGTCAATATTAAAAAAAATAATCGTGACAAATATACGATATAAAAGTTATGTTTTTTTTTGACAAGATTTTTAAAAATTCATCGCGCGGTGTAGGAAAGATAGCGCACGTTTACGAAACGCTTGTTTGTAAAAATATTTTACAACGTTACGCAAACTTACTCGTGAGTGACAACGAGTTATATATATTATGTTTTCGAATTTTCGAGGAGTTATTTTCGAAATTTATCGATTATTAAGAATAATAGTGTAAAAATACGAATAATTTTTTAAAATGCGAAAAGAAAATCTATCCACTGTTCTAAAATGAAACGGGTCACAAGTTCAAAAGTTCAGATATCTATAAATGTTTCGCTTCTTTATCGATATTGATCATATTTGGTATTCGTTGGAATAGTATATAAATAAACTCGATCGACTTAAAGATGGATTCTCGCGATTCCTACTATCTCGTTTTGACAATCGATATTCGTCATTTGTAACCGTATTAAAAAAAATCCTTGCGTTCTCGTCAAAATCATTATTCGCTCGCGTTAATAAAGTTCCACCAGAAAGTGGAGAAAATTCTTTTTTTGGATTCTTTTTTTTTTTTTTCTTTTTTTACAATATTCTCGCTATTTTCGAAGAGACGTCGATCGATCGAAACGAAGGAGATAAAAGAAATAAGAAATAATCGTAAAGAACGTAATTTACAAAAGGGAAAAACAAAAAAGAAAGAAAAGAATTAAAATTATTCGAATTATTCACCGCGCGTGGAGAATAAAAAATGGTTTTACTCTCCGAGATTGCGAAATAGGGTGGCGTTAATGAAAATTTCAGGTTAACAATCCGTGGCGACAGTAGGCTCGAGGTTGGCGGCAAGTTGACTCGTTAAGAGAGTAGGTAAAGGTTGTTTGCCGGGTTACAAGTGGGTTTTTACTCACCTGAATTTATCGGGACTTCGGTGGTGGTGTTGGCAGTCCCGTTTTGGCCGGGGCTTCGCGAACTCGAGGTTCTACCCAAAGGCTCCATCCGGATCGCCTCGCTGCTTTCTCGCGTCGAAGTTCCCCCTGGCATTTTCTCCTTTCCCCCTCCTCTTCCCCCGCCGCCGCTTCCCTTTTTATCCGGTAACCTCGCACCGCGTCGTCCACTTTCCACCGGAACATACACCCTTCCTCCTTCGCCCCACGCCAATCACATTCTTCGACTTTGACGCTTTTCAACGACCATCCACTTTTGTCTTCTTCTTCCCTTTCATTCGTGTCAACGGATCCACGAATTTTCATCCGACTGTGGCTAACTTTCATTCGTTCAAACGCGACGTTCCTCACCGCGATCTTTCGCTCCGTCTATATTTCGATACCGATATTCCACCTTATATTCTTCCTTTTACGTTTATATACTTTATATATCTTTCTACTTTATCTTTTCACGGTAGACGGATATATCACTCAAGGCGAACGTTGGTCCCAATCGCGAAACTTTTGGTAAAAAGAAATCCAAATTTATATAAAACGATATTTCTTTCTTTCTTTCTTTCTTTCTTTCTTTTTCCTTTCTTCCTTTCTTTTTTTCTTTTAAATCTCGTACAAATACTGTCGTTTTACAAAAAAAGGGATCGATTCGTTTTTAATTATTACGTCCACTCGTTCGGGCAGTGCACATCGTACGAATCCTGGTCGAACGAATCAATTTTACACTAATGATTTTCCTAGCTTTCGTCACGTAAATACCTATGCTTTGTAACGTAAAGACAAAGCGTACACTGATCTTGATATCTCTATTAAGTTAAAAAGTTTAGTCGTATTTTCAAAAAATATAACGAGCGAATCGGTAAAGTTGCAATTTAAGATAATTCGTGGCATTACGTATATATACATATATATATATATATATATGTTCCGTTTTTATAAACAAATAGCAATGTATGTTTTCATTTCGTTCTCGTGTAAATCTGTATGTTTTTCTTTTTTCATTATTATTATTATTATAATATTGTAAGATATTTCCTCGGCGTATTGCTACGACACGATACCTGGAACAAGATACAAAACACGATGATAATTTGATGTAAAGAAAATTGGAAAAGAGCAAATTGAGAGATAAAAAAATCGATCGTTTATCGAAATAAGGAACGATCGAGTAAGTATGTCGCAACAATTTCCATTTATTCGATCGAAATTGGCCGCAAAGCGAGAGATCCGCGAAAGAATGTATTAATTTTTACATCCACATCGGAGTCATTTAACGAAACAGCGAGACGAGAAAGAGCGTATATAATAACATACGTCACTTTACGATATGCCGCCAATTACAAATCCTTGTGCTCCTTTTGTTCAACAGAAGAAAAGTTCGAGCCTCGAATAGTAGTAACTCGAATAATATTGTATTTCGTTTATTTCGAATCGATGATAAAATAACGTTTATAAATTGTTATTGATTTTATCAGGTTTGTTATAACGTGTAAAAAACAATGTGGGTGTATAGGTCGGAGCCGATCGCACGTTGTATATATACACATTCAAAGTATATTTTATAAAGTTATTTCTGTAACGACAACAAAGCTGTTAATTATATGCACCAATATCTATCGTTTTTTTTTTTTTAAGTATCCTCTCGTTTAGATATCCTCTGAAGCGTATTTAAAAGAGAGAGGGGGAAATTATCCATAGACAATAGACGCTACTAGATCGCTACTAGATCTGTGCGAAACTTTTATTTTAAACGACGATTACAAGCCGAGACGTTGTAATTAGAGTCGTCGAGAATCAGAGGACCGGCAGAATCACGAACGACACTTTCTTTTCATTTCGGTGGCACAAGTAATTATGCATTTACCGAGACGGATGCTTTCCACACGGTTCGACTTCATTGCCACTAATTCGCGCTCATTGTGCAATCTCTTGTTTACACTCGTTCAAAACTTTTCTACCGCGCATAGTTTCGATATCGTTAATCGTACATAATTACCAACGTAATTATGTCCATTTCTCTCTAAATCGTAATCGTATCGTTGAACGTATTATTAAATCAAAATGCAAATAATAATAATAATAATTTCCTTATAATTTTATTACACACAAGGTTTCAAGGTTTGGTTTCTCGGTATTGAAATTCTTGAAAGATCAAAATTATATAATTGATACGTTATATAAAACGATGCATCTATATCGAACAAGCCTTTAACATTGTCAGAACATTGTTCGTTCGATTCATCGAATGATGACAAAGACAATTAATAAATTTACGAGGAAACGTTATTTTTAAAAATTTTTTTCGATGATTAATTTTATACAATTTATTGCCATTTTGACAATTACGGATTTATAGTGTATATAATAAATTGCACATATTTTTCTTGCAGCTAGTTTTGCTTACAAAAACTTTGCTAGCAATTCTATTTATACTACGTTGCATAATAAATGACATGCATGTGCACACGAGTGAAGGTTACGAGAAAATTATCTCTAATTTCAGGATGTTTTTGTATCTAACTTTATATTATTAATGCTACGTAATATTTCCTTCGAAATGTAAATTTTTATCGTGCGATTTCGATATTTATACGAAGATATGTTTTCACATTTAAAAGATTATTATATTAAATTTTTATATATATATAAATACTATTCAATTATTAGAATTAACTATTTTCTCATTAATTTTCGCAAGTGGATGAAAAAAGCAAAGCGTAATTATTTATTTTTAATATCAATTCGTACTACGTCGGGAATAATCCTTCGACAACGGATATAGCCAGTCAAAATATAATAACGATATTCTCTAAAAACGTTTTACGAAGACACAAATTTTTTCTCGAAAAAATTTCTAAATATTAATTTTTAATTAGTTTTGTTATCGGCCGAGTACGGACGAAGCCGGACGAATTTCTCGCCTTTTCTACTTTCCTTCTCCGTAATTCGGAGAATACGGCGAGCGAATGGCGCGAGACGAAGCAGGCGGCGAGTTTTCTTATTTATACCGAGGGAATTTTCAACGGAAAGAGAAATAGAATGCGCAACTTTTTGTTTCATCCTTACTTCTGTTCACTACACGGGTAACGGCATTTGTGTGCGCGTGTGATACACGAACGCTACCTCGTGATAGAACGTTGACCCTGCCCAGTTCGCGGTCGAGAAATCCCTCCAAACAAACGAAACCGTTAAAATACAAAGACTCGAGTGTCCCACCGTACACCGATATCGTTACACCATATTTTCCAACTGCTTAATAATATATATATATATATCTGTATTCCTACGCAGTAAGAAAAAACGAAATCGAGGAAAAAGAGGAAAGGATCAAAGGAATATGAATTTGGAATATGCGTGTGGTAATTGGACGAAAGAAACGTTGAAAAAGGATGAAAAAGAAACGAAAAGAAAAGAGAAAGGAAGATAGAAAACTAACCTCGTTTCCAACCAGTGAGCAAAAGGATTCGGTCGATTCGACGGGAAACGAAATCGATCGATATTCGAAATTCGTGACGACGACGATGATGACGATGATCGAAGGGAGAAACGTAGAAGAAAACGCGAGTGGAACCGGCACTTCACTACTTCTACTACTCGAAGATCGGAGGCGGAAGGAAATATTTATGCGCGCCGCGGTAGATTGAGCGGATCGAAGTTGGAGAAGAAAAGAAAAAGGCGCGGTGGCGTTGGACGAGCCGTGGCGACGATCGCATCGCTGCCGATGATTAAACTCGACGGACTGTACGACGGATGCACGAGGAGACGATGGGAGGCAGCATCGCCCGTGTAAACGGTCGAACGGTGAGAATGGCACTGAGCGAGGGGAGTTTGAGAATCGAGCGTGGCTAAATTTCCGGACGCAGGGAGGCGCGGCGGTCAGGATCAGCCACAGGTTGCGCCCGCCTCGTTCACGCAGGCCGGGCATCTTGGCTGATCGCAAAGCGGGGGGGGAGGGGGAGGGAAGGGAGAGGACACCCTCTATGCCCAAGCGACAGAAAGAGAAATCGATTAACTTAACATCCACAGCTACGTACCCCCCTTCTTTCCAACGTTCACGCGAGTTACGATTTCGATCGCTTTCGAAATAGACTTTCACCCCCCACCTCGTATTTTAACTAAATTCCATTCGATCGATCCGCTTTCTTTCTTCCAAAATATCCGCTCGTTTCGTTCATTTCCTAGATATATTACAGAGAACGGGAAGAAGAATAAATTCGATTCGTATGATTTAACGGTATCGAACATTAATTGTACGTATAACGATACGTGTATCGCACGCCAATAAGAATTAAGGATATATATATATATTTAATCCGTTAGCTGTGTCGATATAACAAAATAGAAACGATGAGAACATGTTTGAAATTTTGAATCGAATACGAAACGATTGCATCGATTAATAAGATAGAATAATAAATTGTAAAACGAAAAATAAATTGATACAAGTGAGATTAACGATTGATCGATAAGTTATCTATAATATTGACGATAAAAAAATCGTGTGGAAACTCGATGCTCAACGAGCGTATGCAGTGTTCGTGAAGGTATTCGAAGCTATTCTTATATATTTTATTCAACTATTCAAAAATGAAGGTAAGTAAGGGATTAAATCGTTTAATCGTTACAATTGAGAAATGAATTTGTTTCGTCGAATCGTAAACTTAATTGTTACGTTAGATGTCGTTTCATATCGGTGAAAATGAAGTTATTTTGTTCGACGAATGGCATCCGGTAGATTGGCAAGGTCTTGGATGGTCGATGGTCGGTGTTGTTCTCATAGCATCTATATACGAAGGGATAAAAAACTACCGGTGAGAGATTGTTATTCTAATAAGTAAGTAACGCATATATCGCTCTGTATCGTGTATAATGAGTGTTAATATATTCGTAGGATCTTCGACGAATCTTTATCGATTGTAGAGATTCTAAAAAACGAACGCACGAAAATTGGTGTACGTCGATCGAACCTTATTTATCGAGTTGTAAGAAATTTCAATTGGCGCGGTGGAGCGAGAAATAGACGAAGACAGAGCGGTCTGATTCTCCGTTTCCGCCTCGCTCCGTCCAACGCCAACCTAAATCATTTATAATTCGATAAATAAAATTCGACCAATATTTTCATATATCATAATTTTTTGCATTCCACGAATATATCAACACCTTGGAATAACGAATCTAAAAATGTTCTTCCTTCTTTTTCTATCTTTTAGCGATCACTTATACATCAATACAACACGTTTATGGAAAAGCAAAGAAATTAACGATAGAGGGTACGTATTACTTCATTTTAGAATATAATACGCTTTCGGTCGATATTCCACCTCGATCAATAATAATACTTTTCTCTTCCAAAATTGTTTCTTATTTATTATAATAATACACATTATACGAACTCTTGTACTCTTGTACTATTCTGTTTAATTTCAGAACATTACTCTTTTCCAAAATACACTTTCTTCAAACGATTATTCATGTTGTTCAACTGGTCATAGGATATTGTCTTATGTTGATATTCATGACGTACAATATTTGGCTTTGTATCGCAGTAGCATTGGGCACGGCTCTCGGTTATTGGCTGTTTTCTTGGGATAAATCGAACGGCGATAGCGATGACTGCTGCTTGTAAATTTTACATCGAATACGTTTTATCCTCATATCGATATTATTTTGTTCCCTAATATAAGACACGTTATAGCTGTAAAAATTTTAATATTCGTAGTAAATTTTTCATACCAATTTTTCTATCGTTCGTTAACGTTTTTATATTTTACGTATTTCTTCGTATCGTTTCAATTTTTCTTTTTGTCTTTATTTAATACGTAATTATTATATTCTTTTTTTTTCTTTTTTTTTTACGTATACTCGTGTTCAAACTTTTAAGAATTAATTTGCAATATAATTTATTATGAATTTATCTTTCTCTATCCTTACATATAATAATTTCACGTATCAACACGTACATTATGCGTATAATAAATATTCGTTTAAATATATTTTCTTTATTTTATAAGTTTATCAAAATAACGATGGATATATACACGGAATTAAAGAGTAAAAATTCTGTAAAAAATCGAATTACATATTTTTCTATTAATTTATTAATTTTTTCTTTAAATTAATCAATTATGTTAAAAATATAAATATAAGTATTGAGAAATATGTTCATTTCAATTATTAAATTACATCTTTCCTAAACATTTTTTACCATCTATATATAAATATATTACATTGCACGTATCTATACCCATTACTGATTGTGATAAATGTTCCATTCAATTGGTTACGTTATCTAATCGTACTTTTTCATTTATTGTAGAACATAATCATACATACAGAGTGTTAATGTATTTGGATCATCATTTGGTGCGTCGCTGCGGTGCAAGAGGATTTTATCGGATAAGATCGGAAATAAAATATATTTTAGAATATAGAAAGATAATATAGTATAATACGTATTCATTTTAAAAATGAATATGAGATTTAGGAAAAAGTTTAAAACTGTGAACGAAATAATATTCGGATGGGATAAATTTAACGTTATAACATTTTTTATTTTCATATTACTTTTTTGCGTGTGGTGTTTTACATTTTTTTTTACGTACAATTCAAATACCGTACACGAAGATCATTCAGCACATCAACATTAACAAGAAGAGCAATCATTTTTTTCGATTCAAAGATGTTAAAAATATAGGTAAGTATTATATATATATATATATTTATGTTTCTAATTAATTGAACGATATTTAATACGTTTAATTTAATTGTTAAATTAAGTAAAAATAATTATTCGATACCATCACGTTAGAATATTAATAAGAATCTCGATTCATTTAAAAATAAAGAATCATTTTGACAAACAATTTCAACAAGCGTATCGAAACGTGTCAGAGATTGGACGATATTCTCGTTAAAATTAGTAACGATGCGATTTGATCGTTTGTTTGTTCAAAACAAAGATAGCTACATATGTATGCGGTATAAGATATATTTAATTATGTTCTGATTAAACGGAGCTTGTTACACCGAAACAATTTTTTTTTTTTTTAAACGAAAAGAAAGAAATCATATTATTTATTCTTATTTATCTTTATTCCTGTTACTAGCAGAATTTAAATATAAATTCACATGGATGGTACGAATCGTGAAGTCAATTACACTCGATACGACGCATAATTTCACGCAATTTACATTTGTTCGATACACGCTCTCATGGAAAAAGGGACAGAGTGAGAACGAAGCGCTTTGTGTCACGATACTTGTCACGAGATTTAATGTTGGATGATACAATCGATGCAATAAAAATTTACAATGGACATTTCACTTTTACGTATTTAAGCAAATTATTTATTTATTTTATATTATTATACTTCTATATGTGATCAGGAATAAATTTGTATATATTAATTTGTATATTTCTTTCTTTCTTTATCGCGATGAAGATGGAAAGAGAGAGAGAGAGAGAGAGAGGAGGAGAGAGAGAGAGAGAGAGAGA